CTCCTCCTCCTCTCCCTCCCCCTTTCCCTCTACCCACCCCTTTCCTCCTCTCTTTCCAGCCAAATCAGTGAGCTTCAGGTTCAAGGCTGTGTCTAAAAAATAAGATGGCTGTGTCTAAGGAGATAGCCCAGCGGATAACTTACTAACATCAGGACTGGAGTCTGGATCCTGAGCACTCATGTAAGAGCCATGAAGAGCAGTGTGGCCTGCCTATCACCTCAGGGCTCAGGAGGCAGAGACAGGGCATCCCTAGAGCGAGCTGGTCAGTCAGACCAGGACGATCCGTAAGCTCTGTGTTCCGCAAGAGAATTTGCTCCAGCCAATAAAATGGAGCGTAGCTGAGGAACAAGTCTTTGGTGCTCCACATGGATACACACATACATGCTAACATGCATACACACACCCACACACATACATCCACATAAAGGTGAAAAGCAACTGAGAAAGATATCTGATGCCAACCTCTGACCTCTGCATGCACGTGCACACACGCACTTGCACACATCTGCACTCACACATGCTGATGGCGAATGTGAACTGAAAGATGGTGGTGGTGGTGGTGGTGGGGGCGTATGTTTCTATTCCAAAGGATGTCAGCTACTCAGTAGAAAAAGAGCAATGTCGGGTTTTTAAACTATTACAGGACCGCTATCATAATTGCACCCAGCGAGGACTCTTCAGGGGTCCCAAGGCCACTGAGAGAATGTTTACCAGAGAGAGGGGGTTTTCTAGGCTCCCAGGGACACTCGGGAATCACAAGGCTGTTAGCAGAAGGTCTAACCAGAGGAAGGGCAGTTTCCACGTTCTCTGAGTATTGCCTCCAGATCCCACAGTGCTTAGAGAAGGAAAAGTCTCTATACAGAGGGACGACCTCAATCAAACCATCGAACTTAGTACTCCAACAGTGAGGCCTAGGGAGGGACCCTGTGTGTCCCAGTGAGGAGATGCCATCAAAGCGTGTCTCTGGAATGGCATTCCAAAAGTTGTCACCAATCTGAAACTGAAAACACAGGTCAATAGGCAGCATGAAAGCCTGGGACATTAAAAACATCACCCACCTGACTCTTCAAAAATGCTATGTCAGGCTGGAAAGATGGCTCAGTGGTTGAGAGCACTGGCTGCTCCTCCAGCGGACCCTGGTTTGATTCCCAGCACCCACATGGTAGTTCCCAATTGTCTGTAACTCCAGCCCCAGGGGATCCGATGCTCCCTCCTGGCCTCATCAGGCACCAGACATGCATGTAGGACATAGATACACAGGCAGGTACATTCCAACACATCAAGTCAAATAAAACCTTTTTTTAAAGTGATATCATCAAAAAGAAAAATATTAAAGGTAAGGGACTGTTCTAGATAAAATCAGGGGTAGAACCGTGTAAACCCAAAGCATCTGGAGACCCAGGTGAGGTCACTAATCTGGAGAACTAATCAAGGCCTGAAGCATGGATAGGGACAGGTGGGCTCCTGGGATGGGTTATGTGTCATGGGGACAGGGAAATGTTGTCAGGACAAGGTCCTTCTAGGATAACACATAAGGAAGAGTTTAATAGTTAAGTGCCTGGAGAGAGAGAGGGAGGAGAGAGAGAGAGAGAGAGAGAGAGAGAGAGAGAGAGAGAGAGAGAGAGAGAGGAGGAGGAGGAGGAGGAGGAGGAGGAGGAGGAGGAGGAGGAGGAGGAGCAGTTGAGTCTGGTTCTCACACCTGCATGACTCTTACAGCACTCCTGAGGCTCTTTGCAATCATAGCATTCGGGGGTGCATATATCCACAGCTGAAGTTCAGGGGCTCAATTTCCACTCTTTACTTGGTGGTCAGGTCTGGTCCAAAACTCATTGTCATTTGACATCTGAGGGCCTTTCAACTGGCGGCTCCAGGAACCCCATTTCCCTCACCCGCCGTTGAGGGCAGTATGGATGAGCACCCACCACGCTTCTAGGAGTGCTATGTTGAGTTCTGCACCAAGTCCCCAGCCCAGGTCCACAACATGGATCCGAGGAGATGGAGGAGGGGTGGAGAAGCTGTGTGCTGGCCTTTCTCTGGCCATCCCAGCTTCCACGGCCACCCCTCCCCGGCCCTCTGGCAAGCACGGGGGACTGTTCATTCTTCTAGAATTACTGGAACCCCACTGGTTCTCTTCAGCGTCTCTCAGTTCTCCCGCTGATGGATGGTCCCCCACCTCCTGTGCACACCCCACAGCCTGTCCCTGCCTCTGCAACGCTGCCTCCGGCTTCTCCTCTCTCTCCACCTCGGGCCAGTCACCACAGCACCCGTGGGCTATGTCCTCCTTTCCAGTCCCCCCTCACCCCTCCCTCTCTGTCTCAGTCTCTGTCTTTATCTTGTTCTCTTGGGACACATGTGGCCTCACTCTCCCTGTATGTTCAATGACATCCCTTCTGCAGGACATCAGGACTGCTGCCCATGGGGCTCCCTTACTTGGGTGCAGGTCTGAACTCCAGCTGTCAGGGAAGAGGTGTGTGTGGGGGGTGTCTCTTCAACCTCTCCGGGCCTCGGTGGCCTCATTTTCCTAATGGTGGTATGAGTAGGCCCACCCACACCAGGCTGTGGGAGTCAGCTAGAAAGATCATGCCCGGGCCTCTGGTGGGCTTCTGAAACCCACTCCTGATGGCTGTGGACTCCTTCATACCTTGTGTCCCTGCAACAGTCCCACCCTGTGACTCTGTCCTTGCTGACTCTCCCTGACCACCCTTTGTGCAGACTCCTTGTGCTGCTTATCATGCCACCCTAGTCTCCTCCTTTGGATATTCCATGTTTTTCAAACGAGTCCCCACGTTCCTTGACACTGCCATTTGTAAAGGTGGCACTTCATTCCTTCCTTCCCCTGAAGTGGCTTTGCTTCCAGAGACTAGAAGGCGCCAGGCAGAAACAGTCGGTGGCTTCCTAGGCCTCCACGATGTGCCGCTAGGCTCTGGGTAGCCTGTTACACCATAGTTACCCTTCACACTTTCTGCTCCTTTGTTCAAGTGGCAGGCTGCTTGGGCTCGCTAGATTTTGTCTCCCCCATTATGGGTTAAGTTCCGTGAGTGCCAGCCATGCCTGTGCCCACAGCTTGGCACAAGGCTCGGTGCGGAGCTCAGGTAGCTCATGCCAGGTCAGCGTGGCCTCTGGAGCCTGGGCCTGTTGTCGGATCCTGATCCGTCTCCCCAGAGGAGCGGGACGCCTGCCTACTCTGTTTTCCATGTTCTCCAAGGCGTCTGATGGTTCATACCTGGCTGCCTGACAGAGGGTTCATGGCACTGAAGAGGCACCTGGAGGAGGAAGGACTGTGCCCATTCTCTTCTAACATGCAGAATTAAAATACAAAGTTTCATTCCACAGTGTGGCCGGAAACAGCTCAACCGCATGGAGAGTCAGGGTAGTTCTGTTCCCACCATCCCCCAACCCAGACTGATCATCATCTCCCCAAAACCCCAACTCTTTGTCACCGGTTGTTTGTATATCAATTAATTATCCCATGCCTTTGTTAGTTAATCCAGTAATCTGTCTATCTATCTATCTATCTATCTATCTATCTATCTATCTATCTATCTATCTATCTATATTTATCTATCAATATCTATCCATCCATCCATCTATCTATCTATCTATCTATCTATCTATCTATCTATCTATCTATTCATCCATCTACCCATCCGTAGGTGTTCCTGCATCCATCCATTCACCCATCCATCCATCTATCCACGTCCATCCATCCACCCACCCACTGACCCACACATCCATTCACCCATCCATCCATCCATCTATCCATCTATCCATGTCCATCCACCCACCCACTGACCCACACATCCATCCATCCATCCATCCATCCATCCATCCATCCATCTATCCATCTATCCATGTCCATCCACCCACCCACTGACCCACACATCCATTCACCCATCTGTCCACACATCTACCCAACCACTCTCTCCTCACATTCCCTTTTTTCCACAGATTCATCCCATCCACACTTACTTCCCCTCACTCAACTTCCCGTCCACCCTTGCATCATTGTTGGAGGCCTCCTCTGAGGAAGGAGGAGATTCTCACCTGGGTCCCTCAGCAGAATGGATTCGCTTTCCTCAAACATATTGTCCACGCTAGACACACTCAGCACCTCGAGTCCTCAAGTTTGGGTGGATCTTCCGGGTTCTTCAGCTAACAAGCTTTGCGGCCCGGGGCCTCTAGAATAAGCCAGGCCTGGCTTCTGGTTCCCATGGCAACCTGCTGTGTGTCCCCACACAGGTTCAACGCTTCTCTAAACTCCAAATCCCTCACCTATAAGGTGAAGCATATAAGTTTCCACACATCCGGGGCAGCCTGGATGTGTGGTAAAGGCTGGCTGTTACCTCTCTAGACAGATAGTGTGAGTCCAAGTCTGAATCAGTGGAGGAAAGGGGCCACGACCTTCCTTGAACCCATGGAAGATTCCAAAGTTTCTTTCCTCCAATGTATTGGGTTCCTGGGTCTAGAGACTTGGAAGGTGGTGGGTACCTCCCCATGACAGATACCTTTCTTTTTCTTTTTCCCAGAGCTGAGGACCGAACCCAGGGCCTTGGGCTTGCTAGGCAAGCACTCCACCACTGAGCTAAATCCCCAACCCGGACAGATACATTCTAGATCAATCCCGAGGCTTCCCTGGCGGGCTCTGGCTTCACCCTCGTCTACCCACACCCACGGGTGATGCTCACGGTCCCTCATCGTTATTCTTCTCCGACTCTCAATGTTTTAGCACCAGCACTCCCAGAGATGGACTATCACAGGGATCTTCAGTGGGGACCCCAGACTGATCTCATCCAAACCTGACCAGGAGAGCAAAGAACTGGAGAGGTACGGAGCTGTGGCAGAGCCCCTCTGCCTTCCTGGCCTCCAGTCACCCTGAGCCCTGCGGGTACTCCAGAGCCACCTTGGCTCTGCAGGGCCTTTGCACAAGTTGTCTCCTTCCTGAGAACCCTTCCTTCCCCAAGAGAGGGAGGGGGAGAGGGAGAAGATGGAGAGAGCATGAAGAGGGTTTTCATTTACAGCTTTATATGAGTTTCCTGCACTGTGTGAACGGGCTGTTTGTGTGCCTGAGGCCCACAGTTGAGGCTCACTAGTCATGCCTTGGCTGTGATGAGGGCCTGGCTTGGAAGCCCAGCCCTGGCCTGTAGCTCAGAGAAACCCAGCTTCCCGAGCCTGCGTCTAACGGTGGAATGCCTCCAGAGCACTGGCTGGAGAGACCTACTCAGAGGCCCTTTCTCAGCAGAGGCAGGCTAGATGGAGGAGAAGAGCAGGCCAGAAACAGACAAGGAACCCCAAATCCCATCCGCAGGTGACTCAAGGCCCGGCCTTGACCTTGGCATTGACCTCAAGATGCTGCAGCCAGCTTTGGATGTGCGTAAGAAGGTCTCCACACCCAGCTGTGGCTGGCCGCCACAGTGGGGCCGGGTCACCCGAGGCCAGGCTTGCGTCATCTCAGATTCTTTCCCTTCCCCACATGGCTTCGTCTTGGCTGCTTTGCTCCATGCTGTTGTCTGTCTGTCCGTCAGCACCAGCCTGCCTTGGAATGGGTTCTATTAGAGCCACCGATGGGGCTCAGGGACTCAACCAGGATGTGACAGAGCAGGTGGCTGGCCTGGGAGCCAGCGCGACACTGGAGTGCACACAGCAAAGGTCCAGATTCCAGGAGAGGCACAACATGATCCAGAGACTGAACCCCGTCAGGACACAGGAATCAGGACAGCTGGCCCAAGGCAACTCGAGCAGAGAAATCCAGCCCTGCTCAAGACAGCCACAGGAAGTGACTGAGCCCAGGGCCTAGGCCAAGAGCCCTGGCAGGCCAGCTCTGCATCCTGGGGAGTCTCTGGGCTCCTCAGGTTACAGGAGCTGTTGTCATGGTTACTGGTAGTAATAAGGTCTAGCAAGTAGAAACACATGACACTCAGTTACAGCTGAGCGTCAGATTGTCCGTCAGGGTAAGTCTACCCCAGGCAGGGCTTGGGAGATACTTATCCTAAAGGCCATACTTTGTTTCTCTGGACTTCACATGGACCAGGGCCTCCCATGTTTGATCCATCAAGCTATGGCCTCATTATTGTGGAAGAAACTCCCTTGAACAGAGGCATTCCCTCCTTCATGGTGTGCGGAGTCCACAGGTGAGAGGAACTCAGAGACCGTTTCTACTAGCCTGGGTCTTAGTTATCAAATATGGGTGTCACCAATGTCTGTGACGTCGATATTAATTAATAACCGTTGACACCAGTGTTAGTGCTCGTTCACGGAGTGTTAGCTCTGCTCCAGATGTGCCCTGTGCTCCACTCTGTCACGTCACCACTCGGTGCTCTGGTGCACTGGGATGGCATCCTGTCCTTACTAGCTAGGCTGTTCGTTCACAGTGTTCAAAATAAAAGCTACAAAACTGTGGTCCTGACCGCTCACAGTGGGGCGCTATGCTGAGTGGCTTTCGAGGATCACCTCACAAGCAGTGTCACCTGTTCCGTACACAGAAATTATTTCTAGGTCATGGCAACATCTCCATTTCAAAAATGGGAAAATTGAGACCCAGGCTCAGAGGCTCAGATCCGCAGGAAGCAGCTGGCTTCTGCCCTGATCTTCACACCGCACCTGGGCTTCTCCATCAGCCACGTGGTGCCATCCGGTGAGTTGGATCCAGGCTAGATGAGCAGCTGCAGTGAACACCCCCAGCTAATGCCTCATGGACCCCCACTTGCCCTGAGAACAAAGCTATCACCAAGTCTGTTTCTGAAGGGACCTAGGACAAACGGTCCCCAGGGCTGAGGGCTGGTGCCCTGGGAGAGCACCTCCAGGGAGCACCTCCAGGGAGGTGGTGGTCAGTTCCTTTTTTTTGATTGCTGTAACAAAATGCCTGACGAAAGCAAGTTACTGGAGAAAAGAGTTTGTTCTGTCCCAGGTTGTCTGGACAGACAAGGCAGGAGACGGTGCACCACATCACATCCACCACATCACATCCACAGTCGGGCTGCAGAGAGAGAGAGAGAAGAACACTAGTGCTCAGTTCACTTTCTCCATTTCATCCAGTCCCGTAGTCCAGGCCAGGGATGGTGAGTCTCCCACCTCAGTTAACCTAACCTAGAAACTCCTTCACAGACATGCCCAGAGGGCTGTCTCCTACATGAGGCCAGAGTCTGTCCACTTGACGACATTGGCATTTGAACCAGCAGAGAAGCTCTCCAGGGCTCTGTGACTTGGAGCACATTCCCCAGCCTCTTGGCCCCGTACCTCCTACCTGGAGAACAGGAGTAGTAACCGTCAGTGTGAGCAGCTGTGGTCACTGTCAGGTCACCGCTGCAGAGAGAGAGCCAGTGTGGGTGGCTTCTTCTAGAGATGAGTTCAGGAGGTCCTCCAAGGAAGTGAGCGGTGGGAGATGAAGACCTGGCCCCTCTGTTCAGAAGCAGGTGACTGTGGGTCTGCTGGGATCCCTGGGGAGCAGATCAGAGTCCACAGTGGACTGTTCTCAGCCAGGTCCTTGGTGCCAGGTGATCATTCCCTGTTCTGCTGTCTCCACCTGAAATGATGGCACAGATTTGGTGTGTCTGACTCTGAGAGCCAGGGGGAGATCTGGCCAAAGAGGGGTAGCCAAGTGGTAGGACCCCGGGAGTCAAGTAGGCACAGATACAATCCAATCGCAGCGACACACGTCTCTAGAAAATCCCCCTCAAGTTGAAAAACACCCTTCTGTTAAAACACTAACAACGACAGCAGCAACATCTGGGCATCATCAGTAATAAATGCCAACCTAGGCTGAAAACCAAGAGCTCAGGGACTCCAAGAACAGCGCTGTCTTGGGATGCCCAGCGGCCCAGAGAAGTACCCCAAGTGTCCCTGTGCTCCCGGGAGAACCTGGGGAAGCTCTCTGGGTTCTGAGTGACGTGGGTGCTGCTTGTCCTCCAGCCTGCAATCCTGCGGGGAGGGCACTGACTTTAGAGGGGCCCCGCGCCCACAAAGCATCCCCCAAGCTTCTGTGACAGACAAGCCCCTGGCTCTGATTTAACACCACCCTAAACCGAGAAGGAGGAATGTGGAGGGAGAGGCCGGTGGGCCGGGCAAACGTATCTACGCTAAATGGCCGGGCCAACAGTGTATCTATCACCCTCGGGGAAGAGACAGAATGGCTGTAGATAATTGTTGAGGGACCTGCCTGGCGTCTGGGGTTTTATCTGACTTGTCCCTCTGTGTCCCCAACTGAGCCACTAAATGGTACCTGTGATTCTTCTTGGGTCTATTTTTAAGAAGAAAGGGTGAAGACTCAGAGAAGGACAGCAACTTGCCCGGGGGCCACATAACAAGGGATCAGCAAAGTGAGGGTGAAGGACAGGGATAGGCTGCCAGCTACAGCACATCACGCGGGCCTGGGGACCCACGGAGTGTGGAGGACTCGCTTCCCCAGCTCTCCGATCCTTAGTAGCTAAGTGGCTTCATCTGAGTACTGTCAGCTCTCTGGACTTGGTTCCTTCATCTGTAAGATGGAGGCGGGCAGAGTCCGTGTTTATTGGCGTTAGTTGAAGGATGGTGAGCTCCCGGTGTGAGAGGTCACTTTGGGACACTCCTAAGCCGCAGGGGGGCAGACAGGAGCAGCTAGGGGAGCTGTCTGCAGAGATCCATGCCTTCCTCTCCAACTGTCTCAGGCCTCAGTGGAACTCTGTGGTAGGGCCTGGCAAGCACAGGGACCCGGGTTCCGTCCCCAGCACTGCAAAGCATAATAAATATAAAACCCACCTCTTAGTGATGTCCTTCCTCCACAGCTGCTGGAAAGAGATCTCAAGGGTCCCTAAGGTGGTAGTGACAGTATCCTTTCCTCAATCTGGGAGACTCTCACATGTGGCATGCCGTGAGCCTGCCATGGCTGGCATAGTCCTTTGGGGTTAGCCAACCACAGCTGGTATGTGCAGCCCGGTGACCTGGCCATCTTCCAGTCAAGTAGGCAGAGTCAGGAGAGACAGGGTTTCTTCCAGAGCCCAGGACATGGGTCAGAACCGTCCTCCAGAGCCCGTGGCCCTCTGCCACAACTGAGCTAAGCCTGTGGTGTCACACCACCTTAAGGCCCCTTCAGGTCCCCATGGGATGGAACTGGAGACATGCTGACTGCCTTGTAGGGTGTCAGTCTCCATGGCCACCGGATCTGTGGGCTTCCACCTCCCTGGAGTCTCAGCCAAACACCTTGTTGCTGTGTCTGTGACAGCCCATCTCGAGAACACACCACGGGGAAGCCATTTGTATTTTTGATATTGTTGCCATACAGGGACTTGAACCCAGGGCCTCAGCGTGCTCTGTCATAGTGATGATGGTAGCTCCATCACAGAGATCTGCCTGCCTCTGCCTCCCACGTGCTGGGATTAAAGGCGTGCGACACCACCACCTGGCCTATTTTGCTTTTTTTTTGTTTGTTTTTCTTTTGCTTTTGAGACAGAGGTTGACTAGGTTGCCCAGGCTGGATTTGAACTCACTCTGTAGCCCGGTTAGGAGGCCTTGAGCTTAATTCTCCTGCCTTAGCTTCTTGAGTAGCTGGGATGTCTGGCCTACAGCATCAGGCTTAATTCATCTGTGAGAAAAAGGAGAGGGATGGGGTAACAGAGAGAGAGAGAGAGAGAGAGAGAGAGAGAGAGAGAGAGAGAGAGAGAGAGAGACAGAGAGAGAGAGAGACAGAGAGACAGAGAGAGAGACAGAGACAGAGAGAGACAGAGAGAGAGAACAAAAGGGCATGGCTCCCTCGGGCCTCTGGGCTGAGTTACCTCACAGTCAGTTTTCTGGGTCAGGGCTGCTGGTACACGAAGCTCTCAGGCGAGGCTTTTGGCAGCAGGCGAACTGGGTTCCTAAAGATTATTATTTTAGCAAACCCAGCTTGGATGTGTCCAGAGTCGGCAGGAGGCTCCACAGAGCTCTCCAAGAAAGTGCTCTTCTGCGGGAGTTCTTATTTCAGTCAGGCCCAGGGAGGGGTTCCGCTCAGCTTGTGTTTCTGGAAAAACAGGCCTTTGGGAAGAGCTGGGGTGTGGAGGGAGAGCTTGGGAGGGGGTCTGGGGAGGATAAGATAGGGGTTGCTGCAGGACCAGGGCCTCGGGCCTGCTGTCTCTTCTTGGGGACCCTAGAAGGAAGGCAGCCTGGAGATCCTGAGCAACAGGTCTCCAGAGCAGAGGGGTGGCAGGAGCATGGCCTGGCTTGATGGTTCACCGTGATTGGCTCTCACCTGGATGTCACTGGCCCACTGATTGCCTTAGTTTCCTCCACTGGAATAAAGAGCCTCGAAAGTTTCTGTGTGACCTGGCCCTGGCTCTTCCTTCTAACCTTGCCCCTGGCCACTCCCTCCTTCTCAGATCCCCAGGGAAGCACTCACCTGCAGCCCCAGGCTTCTCCTCGTGTCTGGGAGCACCCTCCTCTGCCTCTTCCTCTGGGTATCCTAAATAGTACCTGCCCCGACCTCCAGCATGAGTCAGAGGTCCTGCGCCCCCCCCCCCCCGACTGTATGCCCTTGTGCTGTTCTCCATTCATCTGGCTGGAGTGTACTAGGAGGACAGTCTGTGTCCCTCCTCAACTCTGAAGTCACCACCTTGCTCCTTGTGGTTCTCAACAGGGCACAGGGACAACTTCCCCAGGGCAGCTTGCAGATGTGTGCCTCTCAGCCAGGGGCAGAGCCCAGGACAACAGGCAGGCAGACAGACAGATGGGAGGCTCCAGCTTCTTGTCATAGTCAAGTGGAGCGTCACAGCCCGATCCTGCCGCCTTCGGTATTTGGTAGCCACATGCTCCACAGAGCTCCCTTCAGAGGATGGAAATTGCACTCTGTACTCCTGAGTGCGGCTTTTTTCTAGGCACACCCAGAATCTCTGGGGTTGAGATTTCTCAAAAATAACTCCTGTAGGATCCTGGAGGGGCGCTCTTGCTTCTCCGCATCTCGTGGGCTTCCTGGGGGACCCACCATTCCTTCCAGCCCAGAGCCACATCGTTGTCCACACATCACAAGTCTGGGTGAATGTCGAGTGTCTCTGTCTTTGGAGTCTCGAGCCCCAGACTTAGTTTTATGGGCTCTGGCTGTCGAGGGCAGCCGACGACTCCATCCATCAACCCAGGACCGCTCCAACACTAATGCTGAATTTATAGAAGTGGTTAAACAAAGTGTTGACAATATGGATGATGTGTTTCTGATTAACACACGATTCCGAGTGAAGCTGCCATCTGTGGGGGAGGGGGGGAGGGGGTCAGTAAAACACAGCGGTGAATTCCCAGGCTCTGGCGGCTCTGACTAGGCTGCATTACCAGAGGTTGCGCAAGGAGCTCCTGAGCCCGCTGCTGCTGCTGGGAAGGCTCACACACAAACCCGGAGCCATCCCTCCCTTCCCCTTTCCCTCTGTTTTCTTGAGAGATTAAATCTGAGTTCTTTTCCAGCCTGAAGCATTTCCATCAGGAAATTCTGTCAGCTCCACCGATGTTGCCTCCAAGTGCCTGCCCTCAGCCTGACCCCTCTCCCAAGGTGACCTGAACATGGCAGGAGAGGCACTTAGCTGCTTTCTGGGTGCGGCTGGTTTCTTTCTTGAATCATTTCATGTCATCAAGAGAAGAGGTGGGGGGCATTTGCATTCTAATGAGACTCTTCTTCTGAAATAGTGTGACTCTCTCTAGAAGTTGCAGATCTGGACCAGAGGCCCCCTTATCTCAGTTTCCCCTTATCCCAGCACCCCCTTCCCCCGGTGCCCCCACCCCCCAGCAGCATTAAACTCCATAACCACAGCACATTGTTGGAGCTAGGGAATCACCTTTGGTTCTGCGCTGGGCCCCTAAGGCACAGTTGATCATTGTGTTTTTTAAACTGCTCTCTAAGATTTTAGCCTGTGCTCAGATGGGCACCCGTGGCTGCCTGGGGAGAGAGGGTCTCCCATTCTCACACTGAGAGCCTCTTGAGTTACCCCTGTCATGCTCTCTGTGGGAGTGTTGCAGACATGAGGTTGAATGGAAATGTAAGCTTCAAGATTACTTTTTCAGACAGAATTGCTATGTAGCCCAGGTTGGCCCTAAACTCCTGATTTTCCTGCCTCAGCCTCCAGAACGCTGAGATCACAGGTGTGTGCCACCCCACACCAGGCTCTATAACCGACCTTTGTTTCCTCAGCATTGTCCCTTTTCATGGGTGGATAGTATTCCAGTGTATGGACATACCACAGTCTGCCCATTCACTGGTTGAAGAACACCAGCTATAGAACACTGGTTGTTGAGAGTCTTACGAATAAAGTGTTAACGAATATTCATGGGCAGGATTTCGTGCCCATCTGCAGTTAACAGATAAGGTATCAGAGGCAGAAGAGGTGACAGGTCGTAAAGTAACTCACCTGGCAGCTGAGTCAAGAACTGAACACAGGTACAAACTCTAGAGTCCATGTCTGCCCAGCTGTGCTGTCTAAGATGGAAAACCTTGTGGTTAAAACAACCCTGGGCCTGCCGGGCGGTGGTGGCGCACGCCTTTAATCCCAGCACTCGGGAGGCAGAGCCAGGCGGATCTCTGTGAGTTCGAGGCCAGCCTGGTCTACCAAGTGAGTTCCAGGAAAGGCGCAAAGCTACACAGAGAAACCCTGTCTCGGAAAACCAAAAAAAAAAAAAAAAAAAAAAAAAAAAACAACCCTGGGCCCAAGCAGAAAATGCGGTGTTTATCTGAGATTTGATGACCCTGTGTGTGGTGGTATTGTGTTCGCCAAAATATTGAGCCTGCTAATAAACTTATCTGGGGTCAGAGAACAGAACAGCCACAATATTAAACATAGAGGTTAGGCAGTGGTAGCACACGCCTTTAATCCTAGCACTCCAGATGCAGAGATCCATCTGGATCTCTGTGAGTTCAAGGCCACACTGGAAACAGGCAGGCATGGTGACTCACGCCTTTAATCCCAGGAAGTGATGGCAGAAAGCAGAAAGGTATATAAGGCGTGAGGACCAGGAACTAGGCAGGTTAAGCTTTTAGACTTTTGAGCAGCAGTTCAGTTGAGACCCATTCAGATGAGGACTCAGAGGCTTCCAGTCTGAAGAAACCGGATCAGCTGAGGAATTGTCAAGGTCAGGTGACTGTGGCTTGTTCTGTTTCTCTGATCATTCAGCGTTCACCCAAATAACTGGCTCCAGGTTTGATTTTATTAATAAGACCTTTTAAGATTCATGCTACACCTGCGGGAGTGTGCCGTGTCTCTAGAGGAACCGGAAGACCCTCAAGAACCAGAAAACCTACCGTGGAGACTTGGTGGGACTTTCCTGGTACAGCCTGCATGTCCCTGACACTCCCATGCCCTGTCTGGTGAGAATGCCCCCGCCATCCCCTTCTGCTGTGGGGTCTCCCTCTTGGCCTTTCTCACAGTGTCCCTCCAGGGAGCACACCACTCCACTCTGCCCATCGTATTCTTGTCTTGTAGCACGCATCTCCTCACCACGACATTTTATCCCCCCTCTCTTCCCACTCATGTCCCACACTCTGAAAAACGTATCTGCCGAGTAAACAGGCATCTATTTGTTGAGCCAAGCGCTGTGAGGACTCGGGAGCTACAAGGTCCTGTGCTGAGGTCTGAGAAACAGAAAAACCAACAACCCCTGTGCCAGCCTTCAAGCAGCTCAGCCTGTGGGTGCCGGATTTGGGGTTGGAGTTGGTGTGAGTCCTGTGTGTGCACCTATCTGCAAGCTGAAGGGTCTCCCTGGTCTCGGCCCAGCCTCCTTTGCGGAGGCCCATTGGAGGGGTCCGGGGTGGCTAGACATGTGTGTGTGTGCATTCTTCATGGCTCTGCGCTCTGCTGGGGTGATGGGATCCAAGTCCCCAGAGCCAGTGACCTACCTCAGCTACACCCCCCACCATGACACAGGGCTAAAGATGGAGAGCAGGTACAGAGGCCAAAGAGCCACCAGCTTTAGCGGCCAGGCTCCGTTCTCGCCACCCTCCACCTGTAGCCCAGCTCCCCGGGGCCTGCAGCTCATTCTGGACTTCATTTCCGCCCTCCCTGGCCTCCCGTGCCCCATAAAACTCAATCTCCTCCTGTTTTCAGTTCAATTAAGGGACTATAATTCCACCCAGAGGGCCACACACGGCAAGTGTGAGCGATGTCGGGATGGGGCTGGAGGGAGGGTGGGAGATGACCCCAGAGGCCTCCCAGGGAGGGAGAGAGGAGAGTGTCTGTGAAAGTGAGACTTCTGGATCACCATGGCACTCCTGGGCCAAGGGAAGTCTCCCTAACCCTCAGTTTCCCCATCGACGAAGAGTCCAGTGATCCATCACCACTGTGGATCATGATCTTCCATTCATCCAGACTCCAGCACTGTTGTTTAAAAGCTAACTTAGTTACAAGCCGGCTAAGGCTGCACAGTGAGACCTTGTCTAAAAAAAAAAAAAGACTAATTTAATGATGGATTAAAACTCCACCACCTGTGGACCCAGCCAGGAAGGCTGCCTGCAGGAATTTCTCCTCTGGAATGTTTATGCAGCTGCAAAGACGTCCCTTCAAGGATGTCCACTGCAGGGGAGGGACGTAACCACTGCACTGCAGACTTGCCTCAGAACACCTTTCCATCGTAAGGCAGAAGTCAGACCTGGTGACAAGCTTGGAACCTGACACTTAGGTGACGCAGAGATAGGAGAGTCGGAAGTTCAGGGTCAACCTCAGCTACACAGGACCTTGGGGCCAGCATGGGCTACACGGGACCTTGTCTCAAAAGTCTCATATTAGCAACAATAATGTAATGACTAATGACAGAGGCTGGTCTACACCCACAAGACAAGCGGGAGCCGTTCTTAAAGAAAAGTCACACCTCCCTGGTGGCCCTGAGGGATAGGTTCCAGGGCCCCAAGATCCCCCATCTCTATCCTAGACGTCAAGCCCCTTGTATCCAAGAGTGCCTAAGCATCAGTATAGACCACATCAGCAAAGACCACCTGCACATCTTAAATCACATGTCGGGGCTTCCCTGCCTGATGCAACAGAAATGCCATGAGGCTATCATCAGGCTGTGATGTTTAGGAAAAAGGACCAAAAACAAGCCCGTACCTGTTCAGAAGAAAAGTTGGTGTGCGTGCGTGCGTGCGTGCGTGCGTGCATGCGTGTGCGTGTGTGTGTGTGTATGTATGTACATGTGTGTGTGCGTGTATGAGTGTGTATGCATGTATGTGTATGTGTGTGTGTGCATGTGTGTGTGTGTGTGTGTGTGTGTGAGTGCATGCGTGTGTGGGCATGGGGGCATGTGTGTGCGCACATATGTAGGTGCCCGTGCATCTATGTGCATATGTGTTTGGATGTTTGTGCTTGCATCTGTGGGCCAGAGGCCCGTATTATCTGACTGTTTTCCTCATGGTTCTGGCTAGCTTGACTGGCCATCCCGCTCCAGGGTCCTGCTGTCTGTTCCTGCAGGCAGATGTGTCTGCCGTGGCTGCCGTGGTTATTTAGTGGGTTCCGAGGGTGGGGCCCAGGCCGTCCCGCTCACATGGCAGAAACTTCACAGACTTCACTGTCCCTCTGGTTTCAGATGTGACTTTCTGAGCAGTTTCCACATGGAACTGGGTAAACATGCAGAAGCTGGGCCCCAAGCACCTCTCGAGGTAAATATGAATTTCTTCAGTCAGGCCAGAGTTGAGTGTTATTACCAGGCTCCAAGTCCAGATGGAACCACCAAGGACCCACTTGTGGGGACTGGAGGGCCATGCTCCGGCATGGGAAAGGGAGCTAGTGACTCCCCCGGTTTTCAATTTGCATAAATTACTTTTATAATTAAGATGTGTCCGCACCCATACTGAGCAATGGTACCTACTTACGGCTGAGAACCTGAGTCTTGCATCAGGCATGAAAGGGTAGTTGATCCTCACCATCAACACCAACTGCTGTTGATGCTGTTACACGCTTCTGCTGCCTTTTCCTTGTCCCATGAACACAGTCATTTAAAAATTATTTACTTATTTAATGTGTATGGGTGTTTTGCCTGAATATATGTCTGGTGCTGCGGAGGCCTGGAATAGGTGTCTGCTCCTCAGGAACTGAAGTTACAGACGGTTGTGAGCCACCATGTGGGAGCTGGGAATTGAACCCAGATTCTCTTCAAGAGCAGCCAGTTCTCTTAGCAGCAAAACTGTCTTTTCAGCCACCACATAAACACGGGTGGAACTGCCCTGGGAGAAATCCTGTTTCCTGCTTCTCTAGGTCATTAGCACCCACCCTGGGGGATACCAGGAGGGCTGCACGAGGAGCCTCAGCATAGGGCCATAGCCATGTTAACCCCACAATTTTCAGCAGGGGCTTAGTCAGGTCCTGAACACAGCAGGGGCTCCACAAACACCACCTTAGCTGGTTGTTAAATAGGTGCAGAACAGAGATTGCCAGGAGGACCAAGGTCATGGTCACAGACCCGGGTTGTGTGGGGTTTCGTGCCTTTGGTAAATGCAGTGGTAAACACTGGTCCCCTCAGGACACATTTGGAGGCAGACAGACAGCTCTCCGTGGTGTGGTGTTCTCTCCCTCAAAACTGCTGGTTTCCTCTCTGGGCCTCTGAGTCACTCCAGGGTGGAGAATTAGACCCTGGCCACCAAAAGTGTGGCTTTGAACGCAGCCAAAACAAATGGTTGGGCTGGTCCCTGCGGGGAGTGTCATTTCATCCGCAGTCCACAAAGAAGCTTTTCACTGAAGGCAGAGTCACAAAGCTAGGAGGCTCAGGACTTCCCAGACAGTCATCCCGTGGGCAGAGAGAAGCTCCGGCCAGCTGTGGAAGGTTCTAGAGGCTCCTTCATGCTCTCGATGGCTAGATGAACAGACGACAGCTAACACTGGGTGAAAATATTCAAGACAGACAAGTTTCAAGCCTTGGGTTAAAAAAAAAATCTCCTACTCACCAAGGCATATTGGTGTTCCCCTGCTGGTTCCAACACTCGGGAGGCTGAGGCAGGGGCAGCCCAAGAGTTTGGGACCCTCTGACTGCACAGAAAGATGGATGGTGCCCAAGTCAAATAACAATACAGGCCTGTCGAGCCGGGCGATGGTGGCGCACAACTTTAATTCCAGCACTCAGGAGGCAGAGCCAGGAGGATCTCTGTGAGTCTGAGGCCAGCCTGGTCTACAGAGCGAGATCCAGGACAGGCACCAAAACTACACAGAGAAACCCTGTCTAAAAAAAAAAAAAAAAAAAAAAAAATCAAACAAAAACAAACAAACAAAAAAACCCCAAGCCTGTTACTTGTGGAGCTGTGTTCCCATCCCGCCATAACTAGAGATTTTAGGGCAAATCCCAGGCTCTGGCTGTCCCCCCGCCACACACACATACTATGTGTCCCCATCTCAGTTTTCTGGGCACTCACATGGAAGAAGAACACATAAGGAGCCCATTGTCACAGTCAATCCTGCAGCACAGGCTCCAGTATCAGGTTTAAACCCAGGAAGGACGTGGCTGTGACCTGAGGCCACAGTTCAGAAGTCCAGGTTGACTCAACGCTGCCCATCCTCTGATCAGATCGGGTCTGGGAGGCAGCCTCATGGATCTCTGTCACGAGGAGGGGACCGACGTGGTTCCCACAAGTGGCCTGCTCCTGGTGCAGCTGCTGCCGTAGCTGCTGCCATCACTCTGTCTGGGGTGGCTCTCCCGCAGGCTTACCCTGCCAGGGAACCTGAAGTCCTTTGTCATCTAGAGGCTCGTGGCACAGCTGTGGTCTTCTTGAGTCACCAGGGAATATCAGGGATGGCGACATATCTCCTTCAGGCTTGAAGGGGGATGAGAGAAAACAGGTGGGAAGAGGCCAGTGGGGTCTGAGACAAAGTTGAGGGACAGACGGGAGACAGAAGCCGTGGTGGCAGGCATGGGTCCTGCTTTTTGCAACTTTGTGGTCCTGATAAGGAGTTAGGACTGTCAGCAAAAGCAGTTTTAAAGCATCTCGTAATGCACAGAGGCCTGATGGTGACCTGGGATGGGGCCGGGGTGGTAACCCAGCTCCAGAGTTGGACTAGAGTCGCCAGCCATCACTCTCCTCATTCCGTTCAACCTCGCCTTCCACCTACTTCCCTTCCCCCTTTCCTGGGGCAACATGACCCCTGACTTGAGGCCCAGGGATAAGAATTTAGACAGTGCTATGGGGGCCTGGGTTCTACCCATCACATGAGGACAGGAGTGGAGGTTCAGGGCTTCCAAGACAAAGAAGAAGGAAATAATCACAGTCAATGTCTGTCCTCAAAGCACCTGGGGTAGTGGAGACACAGCCAGGCATGCTCAGCCAGCTGTCTGACGAAGGGCATGTTCTTTCTACTAGACAGATGTGAAGACTGAGGCCGAGAGAAAAAGGGACAGACCTGTCATTCTGCAGAGTGTGTCCCATGTGTCTTTTATACCTGTTCGTTCCAAATTTGGGGCAGTGGGTTCTGGGGCGACTGGAGCCTTCTCAGAACAGAAAGGGGGCTTGGCGAGTGAGTTGTGACGATGCAGGAGTTGATCGACGACTGACTGACAACCATGAGTGGGAGTAAGGACAAGGGACTGAGGCCACAGGGTGAGTGAGTCCCAGGCAGAGCCGGAGCTTGAATCCCCCCAGCTCTGCAGCTGTGGCTTCCAGGCACCCTGCTTCATAGAGATGCCGCGGGGAGACCACACATCAGTCTCTGTGCTTAGCAGCCAGACCCTCGGTCCTCCGTGTTTCCCCCTTCTTTCCCAGAATGGAGCCCAGCTGCCTTGCCTCCTTAGGCCAGTTCAAGGCTTTGTGAAAACAGCTGGCTTTGACAGGGCATTTGGAAGTTTGGAAGAGAGCAGGAAACCTCCCTCCCCTCTGCAAGCCTACAGTCCGCCCCTCGTTAGGGTCACTGCTCTGCTTTCCCACAGGCTGAGCGGGCGTTCTGGGCTGCAGCTCCTAGACACCTACTCCATCTTTTCCCTGCTATCTCCAAGTTATGTTCCCAGCCAGGGGACAAGGACATTTCTGGCTCAGCAACAGCCAAGCTCAGAGTGAATCAGAAAAGGGACCTTCGGGGTACTGCGTGTGGCTTGGTAGTTTAGGGAGACCGCTCCCACATGCAGCTCAGCCTACAGTTCATTGCTGCCCGTGGTGACTCCAGTCACTCTGCTACCGTGAGCCTCTCCCTTCCCTCTGACATACTCTTGCAACCTTAAAAGTACCATCTCAAGGAAGGGCATCGATCTCCGGGGCATCCCCCACCCCAGACAGGCCCCTTAAAGTCAGAGAGCTTGCTACCCCCAAGTTAGAGCTGAAGAGCACCTTGGCTCCTTCCCTCCCCAGGGTTGGAGACACTCTGGAAGCTGAGGATACCAGTTTCCACTCACTCATCACAGAGGCCGCCAGAGTTCAGCATAGAGCCCAGCACTCTCCTGATCTCACATCCCATTGCTCATCACCCACTGGGAAAACAGTTAGCTCCCAGGCAGGTTCTTATGGGTCCAGATGGGGCCACACACCTCTCCTAGGAAAGCATGGCTCAGACAGACCAGACTTGGGTCAACCGAGGCTTCTGGAACTGGGCAGGCATCAGCCAAGCTGGACGCTGGAGAGGAGGAGGAGTCCTCTGAGGAGGCAGGTGACAGGAAAAGCTTGTGTCAGTCGGTTTTGTGAGGCTAGCGCTAAAACGACCAGAGCACCTGAGGGAGAAGGACTGACTTTGTCTCCGGGTTCCAAGGTCTCAGCCCAAGCCCAGCTTCCTGTTGACCCTGAGACAGAACGTGATGGTGGCCGTAAGCAGGAAGCAGAGAGTGAGGAGGACACTGGAGGCCGGGGGGTAGTCTTCAAAGTCACAGCTCCTGTGGCCTGCGTCCTCCAGCCAGGCTCTGCCTACCAGATCTTCTAAATTTTTCCAAACTAGTGCCGTTATCTGGGAACAAGTGCTCGGCAGGTGAGCCCATGGAGGACGTTTCCTTCTCAAGCCAAAGCTCATTCTCCACCTTCACACAGCTCCCTCTTATAAGAAAACAGTGTTGTATGTGCCTGACGAAAGAGTCAGACTCTGTGTGTGTGTGTGTGTCTGTGTGTGTGTGTGTGTGTCTGTGTGTGTGTGTGTGTCTGTGTGTGTGTGTGTGTGTCTGTGTGTGTGTGTGTGTGTGTGTGTGTGTGTGTGTGTTTACATGCTCAAGAGTGTGGGGGGCAGGTGACAATCTTGGGTGTCATTTCTCAGTCACTGTCCATCATCATTTTCAGACAGTCTCTCTCTGAATCTAGCTTGCTGTCTTCTAGGCTGACTGTCCAGCAAGTCCCAGGGGTCCACTGGTCCCCACCTGCCCCATGCTGTGGTCACAAGGGCACACTGTGACAGCTGGCTTCTTGTGTGGGCTCTGGGAGCAGATTGAACTCGGGTCCTGGAACTTACATGGCAAGCACGTTCCCATCCCTGTCACTTCCCCAGCCCAAGTGTTGGATTGTCCTTGAGGTACCTCGTGACTGTCCCTGGAAGTGGGAGATTCAGAAACTATGTTAGAAAAGAGCCCGGACTGAGCTCTGTGTGTCTAGGGGGCCATCAACAGACATTTCCTTTTTCTCTCTCTTTTTTTTTCTTTCTGTGCTGGAGATGGAACTTGGGGGCTCTGTACATCAGGCAAACGTCCTTCCGCTGAGCCCCACTCGCAGCTCAGTGAACTGGTTTATATGTGAAGCTGGCGCTCAGAAAACTGCTGTCTGTGGTCTGGCTGTGGTCTGCCGATAATGCTTTATTGTAACATAACCACATACAGTCTAGACGGAGAATCTTCCCGGAGGGACCTCTTTGGTCTGCGGCAATTTCTATCATCCACAGAGCTGGAAGAGTCATGGAAGAGTCTATGGCCCCAAAGCCAAGGATGTTTCAAGCCTAGAGAAGTTTCCTGATCCCCAGGGGAAAGAGAACACAGTGTGGGTGGATCCCAGCGGGTCCTGTCCACCCTGTGCCTTAGGAGGGTGAGATCCACATGGAGGAGCTGAACGGTGTTGTGGTGCGTTTGTGACTTCTCCGTTGCTCTCATGTACCACCACAACCAAGGCAACTTACAGAAGGAGGAGTGTATCCTGGCTGATGGTCCTGCGGGATGGAGTCCATAATGGCAGGGACCCAAGGCCCCCCTGTGATGACACCCTAAGTGGAGGGAAGCCAGGGATGGTGTTTCTAGGGCTAGTATGACCCTCGCTCCCCGGTTCCGCTCCTCTGGGTTCTACTCACAAGAGCTGGTTTCCCCCAATACCAACTTTGTTTCCATGGGAAGCATGTATTGGTTTCCTACGTTTTTTTCTAAAGTTTCAAAATTAGACATAGAGCCACTGAGACAAGGAAATAGAGCCCATCCTCCTGTCAGCCAATCTGGGGCTATGAGGGAAGCAGGTGATTAGGGAGCTTGGGAGGTGCTCCAGTGATGTCATAGGTATGTGTACCTACCCATATACAAGCACACACATGTGTGCATTCACATACACGTGCATAACCAACTGTATATGCTCCAGCTTGTATCTTTATAACCTGCCAACTCCCTGCAAACAGTGACGGCTGCTGAAACCCCACAGAAGGTCTTACTAGGGAGGGGGAGAGGAAGAGGCAGAGGCAGATCTGTCTCCTGTCTTCTTCCACCCTCCCTGGGCCCCACAGCCCTCCCACCCTGGCTTCCCCTTTCCCCTCACTCCAAGCCAGGGCCCTCCTGTGACTCATCCTGAGAGAATGTGGGGTTCTGAAACTCCTGGGCCGAATGAAAGCTTTCCATCCCCTTCAGCGGAGAGGCCTTGGCCCTCAGAAGCAATCTCCCATCTCCTTGGCCTAATTATTTCTCTGTAAAACATGACCAGTTCCCTGCTTCCCGGAAGCTCATTTCCCATGCAAACATTTGGCAATTAAGCGAGGCTTCCTTAACTGAGCACTTTGTAAGGACTCTAAACCAAAGGGTAGTGGGTTAAGAGTCCCGTCTGTGCCGGTGACTTGAAAGTGCACTCAAACCTCAGGCACACAATGAGCCCATGCAGGGAGGCTGTGAGATTGAATTTCCCATCCATTCACTCATCAGCCAACCGATGGCATGGTGTGTTTCCAGGAGTCAGAGGACACAGTGAATAATGTCACCAGTACCAGTGCCAAGCACTGTGGTTAGAGGTCAGGTAAACACCATAGCAGGTAGCAGGACAGTGGTCACTTTTAAAGCTAGCTCCAGCAGGTACCAATGTGCTGTTGCTGGAAACAATCACGTAACCATCATCACCATTACCATCATCACCATCATCACTATGACCATCATCACCATCACCACCACTACCATCATAATCACCACCATCACCTTCATAATCACCACCATCACCATCATCATTACCACCATCTTCACCATCATCATGACCATCACCATCATCACCATCATCATGACCATCACCATCATCACCATGACCATCATTACCACCATCATCACCATCATCATCATGATCACCACCAACACCACCATCACCACCATCATCACCATCATTAGCGCCAGCACCCCCATTATCATGACCATCACCATCATCACCACCACCATTATCACATCGCTTAAACCTTGCTTTGTGTCCCTTCCTGCTTTGGGACTCTACTTGGTTTCTGCCACAGCCTGGATCTTCAGAATCGGCCTGTTTTTCACTGTGTGTTGTCCCCCCTACTTGGTGACTTTCCCCTTTCTGATGTGTACAATGGGCAGAGGACTCTAGATTGCCTCTAAGACTCCCACCTGAAGCTCAAGGATCACTGGGGCCCAGAGAACCTCCATTGCTTCTCAGGCCCGCGTTGCTATGTGATGGAGTCAGAGCCCAGCCTTACAGAGGGCCACGCTGAAGTGGGAGGGTCTCATCTCTGACCTCCATAAGCTGTGCGACTTCATCAAGCGGCTTCTCCCCTCTGATCTCCAGGTCTCTCCCCTTTCACACAGAAGGAGCTTGCCATGTGACATCAGTGCCTGAACTGGCACTGAGTAGCAGCTGATGGAGGATTTCACAGACAAATCACCCAGAGGTTTTTCAGGGGTCGAGCCGGAGGAGAATCTGCTTACTTATGTGACACACAGCAGAGTGGCCCCACGGGCTCCAGGGTCAGCATGAGCCCTGTGTGTGAATGAACACGTCTCCAGGTGATAGGCAGCCACTGAGTGAGGAGGGTAGGAACCTGCAGGCCAGGCCTTCCCCTGTTTAAATTGCCAGTAGTCACTGTAATAGATGTCATTGAAGGGTGATTCCAGAAGCCTGGTTCCTGCAGAGCAGATGGCCTTCTGGGGCACCTTGCCATTAGGTCAGGAGATGAAGTTGCATCTGGTCAAACCAAGGTGTCATCAATCTAACCAGCACAGTCCCCAGTGTGTTTTGTTGTAGCAAAGGCAGGGACTGGGAGGAAAATAAGCTCGAGGCAGTGGGGAGATGCTCTGGCCGTGGACAGATCCATCCCTGTCAGGCCAGGCTTTCACACCTCTCTCTATACCAGGCCCCCTAACACGGCTCAGTCTGGCCATCTATGTCACGGAGCTGCATGGATGACAAGGCTCTGTGGTTTGAAGCCACCCAGGGGTCTGCGACCAGCCGGCAGGTAGATAAGCAGGTGGGGGAGGACAGCCCTGCTGGCCTCCGTGACCCTGGGTATTTCCTCCTCCTTCTGGTTAGATATCTGACTCTTTGGCTCCAAGTGGCCTTTTCAGTTATCGTACGTTCAGGGACAACGCCACCCCTGTCAAGTCCCGGAGTCAGGGTGGCCACTCGTGAGCAGATAATGAAGTCAAGGCAGAGCATTCAGTAAGCTCAGAGGAGAACAAGGCTGGGGTGAGGAACCTTGAGGGACCTGTCCCTAGGCAGGCTTCCCCAGTGACCCCAGTACGTGCCCAGGATGACAGGTGGCCATGAGGCTCAGTGTGAGAAGCAACTGACCCCTGGGATGAGGTAGATGACTCGGGGGCGTGGTCCTGCTGTGTCTGAAGCACCCACTGTATAAGCGGGGACAATGACATGTCTGCTGCCCTTTTAGACAGCACTCAGCAGGCCCCGAACATCCTCAGCACTGGAGGGATCATTTCACCCCAAGGCGGTGCTGGGTTCCCGGCTCCTCCATCTGTGTCCGTCCCCACTTCTTCGGCTCAGGCCTCGGGCAACCGGTCCTTTTCTCGTTCTACTTGAGGCTGAAGACGCGAGAGTGTTACTTTCTCAGCTGAGTCGAACACCACCCCAGGACTGAGCCGCCAGCAAGGTCATTCCAAAGGACTGAGCGTTCCCCCGGCAGGGCAGGCCTGGAGGATGGTCACCCCAGGATGGGAGTGATGGAGCAGCTGTGCCTAGAGCAGCTCACTGTGCGAAGCACACTAGTCCCCACCTGGTGGCCGCCCTCCGTGGGGCCTCCTCGCAGACCTGAGCTGAGGAGGGTGAGCAGGATTGCACTGACCTGGATTGCTGAGCTGTGGCCTCTGGTCCCGGCCCCATCCACTCTCAGTTTTAACCTCTCTAGGACTGGGCTGGGTGCTGCAGGATGGACTGTGTCAGTGGGCTTCCTCTGTGTGAGTGCTGAGCAAATGTCTCTTCGCTGGGGGTGGGAACAGCCCTAATGGGCGGCAGTCAGAGCCTCGACTTTGCCCTAAAAGCACAAGCTCTGTTCCCACAGCCATGGTCGCTGGGAGAGCATGTGACCTGAATGAGCTGGGCCTCCCAGCCTGAGGCATTGTGGGGCAGTGACCAATGCCACCAACTTACCAATGGGCCTAGCTAGCTCTGGGGGCAGAGCTGTCCTCAAAGGACACCCAAGCAGTCACTCCAAGTGTCCCCTGCACGGGTGGCTACAAAAGTCCCAACTGTCATCTCCACATGCAGAGGGAACCTGAGCCTCAGAAGGGGTGACTAGGCCACACAGGAAATTCCAGAACCTTCCCCTGAAAGAGCCTCCAGACTCTCCCCCAACGCCCCAGGGATGTGCTCATGCACACTCCTGCCAAGCAGCCAAAAGCACATATACTCACGTGCCTGAGGAGTCGCTTCCAGGCAGCTGGCAGGCCTGCCACCCGCGCCTGCCACCCCACACCTCACGGTTCTGCCGCAGCCCACACGGCGGCGGCGAAGGGAGACGGCTCCCGCTTGCTCTGCACAGCTGCCAGGAGCTGGGCATGCCAACTGTGCCCAATGCAGCTGCCTCTCCAGCCACCCCCAGCTCCCCTCCTGCTGGCGTATTCTGGGAAGCCTGGCTCTTCTTCTCTGGTCCTTCTCCTTCCCAGTGGTGTGGCTGGATTTCAGAGAAGCCCGTGGCGTAGATACAGCAGCCAGGATGTGGGAGGCCGGAGGGGTGGCTGGGAAAATTCCTGCACTGGATTCTGCCCACTTTTGTGTACTTTTTTTCTTCTTACCAGTATGCAATTTGATAACCTAGTAGAATACAGGGAGAGAACGCCTGAGCTTATGAGCATCGGCTGGAGACACTCATTCGCAAATGAACAGTCTAGAGTTTATGTTTTTCTGTGTGCCCCAGGTTAAGTATTTTATGTCTCTTGAGGGAATCAACAGTGGGTCATATCGGAGCTTCCCAACACCTGGAGCCATCACACAGCCCTGGCTTTCTCTAGAGTGCTGGTGGATTTGCACTTTCAGCACCAAGAGTTGAACCCAGAAGCTCGCACTTGCAGCAGGCCAGTGCTCTGTGCCCAAACTATATCCTCAGGCATTTAGCTAATTAGTTTGTTTGTTTGTTTTTAATTTTGCGACAGGGTCTCTCTATGTAGCCTAGGCTGGCTTTGCTTGAACTTGTGATTCTCCCACTCCTTGAGGGCTGGGATGACAGGTGTGTACCACTATACCCAGGAAAATGCATCATTACATTCCCCACTTTTGAAGGGCTGGGTAAGGCCGGGGTCTCCCGCATGCTAAAGGCCCAGCTTCTCTAAACTTGCTCAATTGATGGGCCTTGCCGCTGAGCCCACGATGCTCCATGGTTATTAAAGACACCAGGCTAGTTTCCCTAGGATCCATACATCCCTCTCACCCCTTCCACAGGCCGCAGCTCACCAGCCTGTCTGTCTCTCAGCCCTCTAGTCAAAGGCCACTTCCCCAGGACTGGGGTCTGCAGGAAGGGTCTTTCCATGGTCAGGCAAGGTAAACTTTAGAGAGGGCCTAAGGCCTTTGCTGCAAGGAGGCAGCCTGGCTGTCACGGGTTGGAGCAGCCCACAGGCAGCACATGATTAAAGGAGACACAAGCTGTAGCTACGCTCACTGTCAACTTGACTGGGCTTGGAAAACCACGTGGCAGACGCACCTGTGTGTGGGGGGGGTGGGGTGGGGGGAGGGCCCACTTTCAGAGAGTTTTTACTGAGCAGGGAAGATCCACACTGGATGTGGGCAGCACCACTGCCCAGGCTGGGGTCCTGGGCTGAATAAAAAGGAGACAGCGATGCCGGGCGGTGGTGACGCACGCCTTTAATCCCAGCACTCGGGAGGCAGAGGCAAGTGGATCTTTGTGAGTTCGAGGCCAGCCTGGTCTACAGAGCAAGATCCAGGAAAGGTGCAAAGCTACACAGAGAAACCCTGTCTCAAAAAACCAAAAACCAAAAAAAAAAAAAAAAAAAAAAAAAAAAAGAGACAGCGGACTGAGCACCAGCACCCATCTCTCTGCTTCCTGATGGCAGACACAGTGTGACCAGCTGCCTCATGTGTCCTGCCACCATGACTTTCCTGCCACGATGGGCTGTGCCCTTGAGCAGAGCCTCTGACATGGGCCTGACTGGGCATTATCTCAGACATAAACACCGTATGAGCTTCCCATGACCTAAAACCAGCTTTCAAACCTTTTTTCTTTTTTAGTTAAAATTGTGAAGTCATTCTCGGCCCATGAGCTGTACAAGGCACAGCCAGTGGGTCAGACCTGCATAGTCGCTTGTGACCCCTGTTGAGGTCACTGTGACTGCATCCTGCCTCCTAGTCAGGCTACACCCAGTGCCCGCCCCAGAGCTTCTTCACAGTGCCCCTCACTGGCCAGCATGGACAGCAGCCACGGTACTAACCTGACATCTACTTGACAGACTCAGAAGCCCGTGAAGGCAGCACCGAGCATTACTGAGCACCAAACACTCAGCACCCAGCGCATGAGAAGCGCTCATCAGCTGTACACCAAACAAAAGCTCGAGGAGCAGGTATTCTGATCAGCTCCCATTTACAGACATGGACTCTGAGGTCCAGAGAGGGAAAGACACTTTCTCAAAGTTGCATGCTATAAATATGAGCTAGACCTCGGCTTCACCCAGTGGCAGTAAAAGAAACCATGTTAATTGAGCAACTACTGCCTGCTAAGCCGAGTGCACGCAGGGTCCTACTCCCTTCTGATTGAATGCCAGTGCTTCAATGCCAAGCTGCCACATCCCTGTAGCGGGCTGTGACCTCTACTAAGCAGGATTGTGTCACCTGTGTATACTCACTGTCTACGACATGGGGACACACTGAGAGCTTCAGGGAACACACAGGGAGCAGCGACTGTCCACCCTGCCGTGGGCCTGGAACAGGTCCTTCATCAGCTAGAACTGCAACCCAGACCTGAAAATCAGCTTAAAAAAGATAAACTAATTAGATTTTAAGAAAGAAAAAGGAGCATACAATGCCAGTGTCATGGCAACAGCAGAATCAGCCGGGGGTCTCCATCCACCAGCATCTAGCTCCACAACTCCCCATCCAGCCATTTCCCAACTCGACATGCACAGGTTGGTGCAGAGAGAGGCCAGCTGTGAGGGCCACCAGGGGGACAGTCAAGGGGAAAATGCCTCCAGCTGGGGGAGGCCACTCCTGCTGTACCTTCTCCATCGGCTGTGGACACATCCTTTTGCAGGGCTGCATGAAGTCAACGGTCTCAGAGGTGGGCCATTTATGCCCAGTGTGTGTTGCTCTAAGTGGTTGACCGCGGGTGGGGGTGGTGGGGGGGGTGGGGGTGGTAGTGATTTCTGGCCCAGATCGTGAGCCCCAGGGAGCCCCATTAAGCGGGTCCCAGAGGCATCAGACTCAGGAGACCCCGCTCCTGACTGCTGGCCTGGCCCCTGGTTCCTCCTCACAGCCATCGGGAACCCCACTTGTTGCTGGTGGCCTGGTGGTGGGATTTAAAGGCAGGATAATATTTACACAGCCAAGGCCTCCTGAGGCATCCTAAACACCGTAAAAAGGATTTTCAGGGCTTAATGAGCGTTAGTGAGCCCGACAGGATAATGCGGCACTGGTGGCTTTAATCTGATCTGGCCTCTTTCTGCACAGTGGGCTCTGAGGCCAGGGCGGCTTGGAGCCTGGGCCCAGGCTGTTGCTTTGCGGTGTCTGCCTCTTATCTCGGACCTCTGTGGTGTTATCTGCGCCTGTGTGGCCACAGACTGTCAGCGATCGCTGTTGAAGGCGCCTTCCCACCACATAGGTACCTTGGGGTTCGGGAGTGGGGGAGGGGAAAGGATGCAAAATTTGCTTCAACTTCTCTCCTTCTAAAGGCAGACTAGAACAAGCTCTTTAAAACTATTCATCGTCATCATCATCATCACCATCATCATCACCATCATCATCATCACATCATCACCATCAACATCATCATCATCCTCATCGACAGGATCTGTTGCCCATCCCAGGAGCCATCAGCTGTCAATAGCTCATCAGCTAGGGGTTGGGGCTCATGAGCTACTGGCCTGATTTTGTGCAGGCAACCAGAGCTACTGTGAACTCACGAGTGCAGCTGTCCTGTCCAGAAGATGCTGTTTCCATTCTCTCCTTCTGACCCCTGGCTCTTCCTGAACAATCTTCCCTGTCCCACCTCGACTGTCTCAGAGCCTGGAGCAGGGGGTGGGGGTGGGGGCGGGGTACAAAGACGTTTTCGAGCAAATATGTGTCCGCAGTTTGGGTAGCCCACAGATGGTTTGGAATGCATGCAGCTCAATCATGAGTGGAGCTTTCTCAAATGCCAACACCAGGAGCCACAGCCCCGGAGAGCTGTCACCACGGGCAGTCCTCGGCCCTGGAGTTTGTACTAGAACCATTTCTAAGGGGAACAGTGGGGTCTAAAAGCTTCGGGGTGACTTTCACTTAGCATTCAGAGCTGGTCTTTCTCACCATAACGTAGGATTCCTTCCTGTTAGTGGCCACAGGAAGGTTCCCAGCTGGGGCTGCTGGGAGCAGCCTCTTCTGTGGGATGTGTTTAGGTCTCTGCAGAGACACAGTGTGAAGTTTTGTCATGCTGCGGCAGCATTTTTCCTAAGGTGGTTCTGGCATTTCCCATCCCACCAGTGTCGAGATTCCCAGTGGCTCCATCTCATCCTCAGCCTTGGGTGTTTTCTGATTCCTAGTCATGTGGGTGTGTGTTAGTGGACTACAGATAGACAGATCTGTGGCTTCTTCTGTTGTTTTTAATACATGAGAAGTCTTAGTCATGTGGGTGTGTGCTAGTGGCCTACAGATAGATCTGTGGCTTCTTCTGTTGTTATTAATACACAGGCAGTTCTTCCCCATTGCATAAGATGTGTAAACCAGAGTATTCATTTCACAGCTGGAAACACTTGGATGTGGTGAGGGAGACGGTGCAACAGTGTGTTGAAGGAAAACTTACGGATGGTCCAGAATATCAGCATCCTGACAAGGGACCACATACTCTCTCTGAGAACAGCCATCAACTGAGGATCCGTTCTGTGGCAAGTACTGAGGAACTCTTTCCTATTTATTGTTTAGGTAATCTGTTTGTCTATCCAGCCATCCACCCACTTATCCACCCATCAATCCATCCATTCATCCGTTCAACCATCCATGCATCCATCCACCCATCTACCCATCCATCCATTCACCCATCATCCATTCAATCATCCACCCACCCACCCATCCACCCATCCATTCATCCACCCATCGTCCATCCAATCATCCATCCATCCATCCACCCATCTACCCATCCATCCATCCACCCATCTACCATCCCTCCATCCACCGATCATCCATCCAATCATCCATCCATCCATCCATCCATCCATCCATCCATCCATCCATCTATCCATCCACCCATCCAATCATCCATCCAGTCATCCATTCATCCATCCATCCATCCACTCAACTATCCCTGTATCTGCCCCTCCACTACTCTATTCCTCCCTCCTTCTCTGCAGTCAATAGACTGTCACCCAGCTCCCCCTTCACCCAACTCTGTAGAGACAGAAATGGATAATAAATGCTCCTGGACTGACGAGTACCCCATCTTTAATGAAAGCTTATTTCATCCTCCTGCTTTGGACTTGATCCGTCTCATGCTGAGCCTGAAGTGTCCTTTTTTCT